AAGTGCCGTTTGCATGGGCCAGTTTGCAAATGGTTTGCAAACAGCGCAAAGGAAAACTGACCGATACTGGCGATCTGTTCAAGTTCTTCAATCTGGGAGGACGCTGATGCAATGGATGGACAACGTGGTGCGCCAAGTGAACACCAGCGAAAAGCCGCGCGACGTAGGCGGCGTTGAACTGTTGATGAGCAATCAGAAGAGCCTTCAGGCAAAATGTAAAGTTGTCCACCTTCACCGTTTGCCCAGATATAACCATGATCCAGGAATTACCTAATAGGGGCGATCAGGGTTTAGAAGGGGGGCAGTGTAACGGAAATGGCCTGGGGTACTCACGTTTGGAATGGGGGATCGAAATTCATGGTATTTCAGTAAATGGGAGCCCCATTTACTGTCAAATATGACACTGACAAGCGGGAAGTTTCGCACCTGTTATGGAGATTTCTAGAACTATCTGGAATACCTGGAGAAAACTATATAAGCGACGACGAGAACCAGACGGGGAGAGTGAAGTGACAGCCGCGCATGAGTGCAGAAGAGGTTAAACTCCGGGAGTCGGAAGAGCGAGTTTTCCGCCTGTTACTGTTTCTGAAGTTGACGGTAATTTTGAAGTTAGTTTGTTCCTGTTCCGTAGTTAAAGTTGTACCGAGGTGAATAAAAGTTGTAAGCTAAATAAAGAGTTAATACTCGGCCATCCACGGTACAATAGACTAGCTTTTACCCGGGGCTACGCTTCCGTTGAAGCGCTAAAATAAATATCAACGATTAATACATTATAATAGAACTGAATAACTGTAATTCAGTATTTAAGAATTACTACATAGGTACAATAAAGTTTCTAAAACTCGTAACATGCTTCATTGAAATAATTTAGAACAACAAAAGTTGCAAGGTATTCCACTACAATAAAAATAAGTAATTTTGAATTCTAACAATATAAAAATATAAAATGAAAAGTTTTATTCTATATTACTTTGGTATACTATGTTGTAAGTTTTTCCGTCCGGTGTAAAAATGTGTTAATTTCGGACATTAGACTCGGGAACAGGCTAAACATAGTTGACCGTTGGCTTTTCTAAGTGAAACCCTGCTGCCTGTAATGTGTGCCGTTGTGCTTTGTTTATAGTAATAGCAAAGCTAAGCTTGAAGCTCTACTCTTTTGAATTGAAATAAAAGGTCAGTAGGAATAATTGGATTCCGAGGTCTGGAAGAGGGGGAGTCTGTTCAGACCTATTTCCCAGTTTTAAATTTGTATTTTCAGTAATTCGTTTGATATCTTTCTAAACAAAAGGCAAAACCTTTCCACCTACGTTTGAAGTCAAGTATGCAGAAAGTTGACGATAGATGACTACAGGATGACGAGCAACGATCAGTAACGGCTTTGCCGGTTGCTCCCATTCCAGTAACATTTCTAAATCAATTCATTAATTATTACTGCTCATTAACAGCCAGCAGAAAAAATAAAGAATCAGCTCATACGTAAACGCTTTTTGTTCATTATCAAAAATACTGAGAACCGTCCAAAGCCCTACAGTCACGGTTGGGTCGATTTTACAACTCACCAAAAAAACAGGAAAATTTCCTGAAAAAAAATTCTTCAAAAAAAAACAGAAAAATTTCCTAAAAGCAGGACTTTTTTGAGAAAACTGCCACGATTTCCGCATCGCATCGGTTCACTTTCGGAAAAGGCCATTTATTTCGCTCTGCAATGATGTAAAAATTAGCGTTTTTGCTCATTTTTCTGCCGAGGAATGAGCAAAAACGGGACCAAAAACATATATTTTTGGCATACAATTAATAATAACACAATATATTAAATTCAATTTCGCTTTTTGGATCAAACCTGCTCGAAATTCCCGACTCATGTAAAATTAGCGTTCTTGCGCAATTTCCTTTGGAGGAATGAGCAAAAACGAGAAAGAAAACATAAAATTTTGGAATAATCTATGCACCACAAGTGTCTGAAATTCAAATTTCGTTTTTTGGATCAAAACTACTAGAGTTTCCCACTTGTGTTGCTATGGCTGGATGGTACTTTAAATTCTCCTTTCAAATATGCGAAAACGAGATCTGTGGATCAAATGGGGATTCAGAATTGTCGAAAACGGCATCGTTATATTTGAGTCGACTCTGCAACTCACCAAAAACTGGCAAATATAAAACTTCTTGAAATCGAGACTTAAAAAAAATGCCAACATTTTTATAACGATGGTTTATAACAAAATCTTTCCAGCTAGTCGTTTAAAATTTAAATCTCACTTTTCGGTTCAAAACGACTAGAATTTTCCCACCCGCGATGTTATTGCTGTATCGAGTTTTAAATTCTCCATCCAACGATGCAAATGGGGCTTGAGAAACTTCGATCTGCTAACTTTTGCACACTGATGTGCCTCTTACTGTTAATTATAGGCTTTGGGCTGTGCTTTTGCGTGTGCAAACCGCTTTAAGTCTTCTGAAGTAGAACTTCAAGGTATCCAATTACCCTCGAAGACGATAGAGGCGAATCTTGGGAGGGAGGGGTTATGTGGCACTCTCCATGGATTCCACTGTATCAGCAACCATGGAATACCACTAATCATCCGTATTAAGCCTCATCATGTCTTTATCATACAATCGGAATGATGTAAAATGTTGTACTCTGGTACAACCACGCTAAAGTACACTTGTAATAATCACTTAGTAACAATTTGGTTTTATAAGAAAGTTTGTCATTCGTAAAATTTTTAGCTCATGTCAAGTCCAAAATGCATGTGACTGAAAAGTAAAAGCAGAAAATTAACAGTTTCCACCCAAAACGATTCGTCAAAATGCGTATTGCCGAGAACTGAAACACTTCGGTTGAAAACACGAATGCAGAAGAAA